GAGGCAATCTTAGAACAAAAGCAAATGCACAAAAAAAGCAAGTAAAAGCAACTTTTGATTATCATGGGTCTCACTGCAAAAAGTTTAGGGTTATTTTTACACAATTGACCCTTTTTTAAATCAGGGATATTTTCGTATTTTTAAATATTATCATGGGTCTCACTGCAAAAAGCGCTGGTTGTAAGACTACGGGGGTGTTTGGCAAATTTTTTGCCAAATGGTTTGGCAAAAAATTTGCCAAACACCCCCATTTTTTTTAAAACCAAGGTTTTGCCCAACAAAACCTTGGTTTCAGATAAGCAAGCGGAGGGACAATTATTGGCTACGGAACAAGCACGCTGGGGGGGTCATTCAGCATGCAAGCACGCGGGGGGGTCATTCAGCACACTGGGGGGTACACTATTCAGCTCAGGGGTACAATTATTTGGCAAAATAAATCATTTTTTTAAAAACATATTTATTTATTTTATTAATATATATACACACTAATTTCTTATTATTTATATTATTTATGCCATATTTATTATGTTGCCAAAATATATATTATTAATAAATTTATTACTTCAAATAAACATATATTATGAAATATATATTATATGTAATTATCATTCAAACTTATATCCTTTTTAGTAATTTCTACATATCAAAAAGCACTTCTGACAATAATTATCCAAACACTCTCACTTTATCAGAATCACTTTTCCAGAAAATCTATTCTTTCAAAATCTATTCTCTCCAGAATCTATTCTCCAGAAGTTATTCTGCAAACCATGGTTTTGCCTCATCCAAACACCCCCTACATGTTATTTTTGCTTTAATTTAACAAGTTTATAAGTACTTTTGTATTTTTAAAATCTATGAATTATGCAATTCTTGATATAAGAGGAGTATCCAATAAATTCTAGACATGTGTATACAAATGATGAAAAATGGAGATTATGGGGGTAAAAACCAATAATTATAAGTAAAAAGAGTGAGATGCCAAAAGAGCAGTCTTTTAAAGGCAGTTAAATTCTCAAAGAAATTGCTAAAAAATGAATTGGAAATACTGAAAGGTTTATTTAAAATTTAAATATCTTGTTTAAGATTAGTAATTGCTGTTTATTTGAATGATATTTATAATTTATTTTTTTAAAATATTTAACATCTGGGCTGTCATTGTAATTATTGATCTTTTGGACTTAATTATCACTTCCCTAACAACTATTATATTATTGTAGGGTATTTACATAATTAATTTTGAGTTCTGGAAATCATAAAGTAACTTCCAGAAAGTTTGGCATGCTTCAATGAGTCAGTTAATTTGGGTCAAGCGAGGCTCCTAACAACTAACAAGATTTTTTCTGGCAAAAAAAAAAAAAACAACTAACAAGATCTTTTATTTTTTTTGCCATAACTTATTCCAGTGCCACTATTTTTAATCTCTAGTTATTTATAATAAATTTATTTTTTCTAAGAAGTGACAGTTATAAAATTATTTTTATTTTAAATTTTGTGTATATTAAAACAAAAAATTATCCAAACATAAAAAAATATTAAATTGAATCTGAATCATCAAAAATCAATGTGGTTGCTTCTTATTATGATGAGGGTATTGTACAAAGTAAATTTGCATTTTTATTATTGCTTTTCAAAACATGCAAAAGAGAAGTTTTTATAAATTATGTATGTTCATTTGATCTCTTTTTATTTGATTTTTTGGGCTCATAATTAGCGCTTCTTTAATACTACAATCCATTTTGAATTCTAAAACCCCAATCCATTTTGTCTCTCATATTTATGTATTTTTTTCTAAAATAATCCTTCTAATAATGATAGTTCTAGCCAATACACTTAATTAGCAAGGATATTTTAGGAATGACAACACTTATTTATTACAAATAACTAACTTAACTTACTTCCTTAATCTCCTCAAATAAGTCAACTGGGTCTTATAATTAGGACCGGAGGTAGTACTGTATTTGCTTTTTTTGAATTCTAATGCCCAAAGTAATGTATTTGTGAGTCTTTGTTCTCCACAACGAATGAGACGACTAAAAGCGTAGCCAATTTTTACCCGTTTCCGTGTGACTTCCGTAGAGTTTTAATGCGTACTTAGCAAATGACCTCGAGACTTTCTCCCAAATTGCTTAAAGGCCTTCACCCAAATTAAAGCTTGGTTAATAAAACAATACAAATGATTCAAATTTAATAAGTGCATGCTGACCAATCATGCACGCAGCAAAAACAGGGAAGACATAAGTAGGCACGAATCCAACAGGAAACAAACAGGGCCTAGGGGGCTCTATATTACTGGGGAGGACAATTAAGCTGGTCTTGGAGCTGATTCAAGTCAACGGAATAATGACTGTGAAACTTCATAGAATAAAACCCACCATTTACAAAAAGAGATGAGCCTCTTTCAAGTTACTCCTCAATCGTTAATATATCGTCTAGTTGTTAAGGTAATTATAATTTTAAACATAAAATTTATTTGTTATATTTATATATTATTTTTAAATTATCTTTATAGATACTACATTAACCATAATTAAATAGGAAAAAAAAGGAGGATATTAAGAGAAATGATTATGATATTTTAGAAAAGAATTAGTTAAATATGTCTTATATTAAGAATAAGAAGAGTATTAATTAAAACTTTCTTCTATGTTCTCAATTTGAACACCGTGAAAAAACAAGGGGAAAAAACTCTCCAATTAATATTTTCCTAACTATGAGTCTCTCTGTCCACCCCCGGGGCAAAAACAATTATGAGTTTCACATCTGAATACTTTGCGAGTAAGATTTAGGAAAAATTAATTCATAAATCTTTAGAATTTCACTTGATTTTTAATCAGGTTCTAGTAAATTTACCTTTTTTTTTTTTCAGTTATAAGTATATGGCCTCTACAGTTTGCCATTTTTAATAGAAACAGTACGTCATCCTATTCAGCATATATTTTGATTAAATTTGCCACATAGATCTAAATAAGATCAGAATCAACCAAATTATATATCAAATTTTTTTTCATCATGTTACCTTTAAAAATCCTTTTTATGTAATGTTGCAACTTGTAGCCCAAAGAAAATGCATTGTTTTGGACTTTAGTTGTTTGTTTGAAGGAATAAATGAAATGGAAGTGAGGGAATAATTTTGAAAATGCAAGGTTGCTTTTCAGGTTCAGCTAGTCTCTCACTCCCTGCTCTGTTCCATTAAGTTCGTTATATTATAATGCATACGTATGGGGATCCACATGTAGAATAGAATGTGAGGTGTGTTGTGAATAGAGCGGCCAAAGAACGAATACTCTGTTTGGAAAATAAGAAGTAAAAGATAAAGTTCTCTCTATTTGCGGACGTTGCGAAGAAGGGAGGGCGGAAGCAGAGGCACAAGAATAGTTATTAACAGAGTACTTAAAGAAAGAGACTCATTTAAACCGTAAGCCAAGAGTAAAGGCCCTTTGTGCCAAGAAAATCCTCATTGACAGAGTTATGCAAGGGAACAAAATCCCAGAGTTGCAGACCAAGATGAAATCGAACCTTGAAATCAAAATGTATGAATGCTTTTCACATATTGTCATCGATACAACTTTTTTGGTTCATCTAATGCTGAATGGAAAAGATGGAAAACAGGGAGTAGGGAGAGAGAAAATTATGAGAAGAGTGGACTATAAGCATTGCTGATTCATTTTGAACAATGAGCCCTTCTACTCTGCTTAGCTGACAAGGGATCTGTCAAAAATAAGCATCAAACAAGTGAACAGAATCCATGGATGAATTGAAACCAACAACATATAAGATTTCATTGGCATGATTAATTTGGGATATATAAATTGGCTCCCAAAAAATTATGAGGAAATAAAATGCAAGGACAAACCTCAACAAATTGGTACTGCCATAGCCAGGGCCTGACACCATGTGTATCAAGTGACATATGTTGGGCGAGTCAGGATATAAAATTTTTATGCTTTGCAGTTCTTCCTTATTATCATTATCATTATTATTATTATTACTACACAATCACATCTAAGTATTTATCTTACTATATTTTAATTTATCTTTTTATCTGTTGCAACAGAATAATTAATTTCAATAACATTATCTATGACAGCCGCGGTGTAGTTGAAACTGCTACCACTGTCTTAATTTTATCTTTTAATTTATTCATTTGTCTTAATTCCCTTCTAACTTTTGTATGCTAGCTTCTCGTAGTGTTTCATTGTTGCTCTTAAATTTTGTTCTTTATCAGAATTTTATTCATTTAATTCGGATCACACGCAACACAGACGCTGAGATTTTAGGGTATTCCTAATTAAATGCAACTTTGCAGATTCGCAAATATTTCCAAAACTGTTGTAAAACTTTTTTTCAGAGCAAGATGATCGGATGAATTGAACGAGATCAAACTTTTCAGGCTGCTGATTATGAGTTTACGACTTTAATGGATGCAGCCTTACGAATATATATATACAAATGAGATGGAAATTCCTGCAGCCATCAGAGGGATAGGGATTGAAAAAGAAAGATGAGAAGATATTAATGTTCAAAGATCGAACCTGTTGTTTCTTGTTCTTCTCATATTCTGCATATGCTTTCTAGTGATTATATTCCCAGACTGCTTCTTCACTTCCGCACCCAGATGAACTTGATCTTTATATTTGCAAGCTCCTTCAATGGCTTCCTCAATGTCCATAATCCTTTTCTTTCTCAATCTGCTCGGTTAATTTCCAGTGATTATGAAATAGTAGAAGTAAGACATAATCAGCTTAATGTCCAGCAGTTGAATCCAGTTCTTCAAAAATGTTAAATTAATCATATGAATGCCAATGGTACAACTTAATGATGTGGTAATCAGAACGTACAAATTATTTAAAAACAAGAAAAAAGCATTTCTATCACTAGTAGTTAAAACCAGAGCATACCATTTTGAGGTCGAGGCGCGAGAGTGATATATAAAGTTGAAGTAGTGGGCAGATGAATTGAACTTGAGAGCTGTAAACTCAAAAACCATTTCTTGAAATTCATCGAAGTAAGCTGTGATATTTGCGCTTTCGAGAGGCCGATTTGCAATGCAATAATGCCAATTGAATTTGTTTGATGTAATTTTGATATTCAACTGCAGATGTCGGGCACACCCCCCACTCTTTGATCACTACTGTTGTTTCATCAAGCGAAAAGGCTGCGAATTCAAATTGAAGCAATGGATGATAAGTGTTGCTCTGGGCTTCTATTTTCTTTTCTTCAATTTTGCTTTGTACTTCTCGACATGGCATTTGATCGTACCAAAGAACAACATGATCTGATAACAGGGACTCACCGAGAGAGCAGTGCGCAAACGTGGAAGCATGTTGACCATCAATAAACAATTTGGCTGTAATATTTGTGCACCGTGATGATCCAGAAATGACGGCGCAAAAAATGAAAGCGCCATCCCAAGGTTGTGGAATCGAACTGAGATCCACAGTCAGGAAAGGCTGTGTAGTCCTATACATGACCCACTCTGCAACTCTTCTTCCCGGATATTCCATTTTAGCCCACAAATAAATGGCTTTGTTGTTATTTATGGCAAGTAGCACTCTGGCCTCAATAGCCTTGATTGACTGCCCATCCAACTTCATGCAATTTATGAGACTGAAATTTTCGCGAGAAAATTGATGTCCTTCTCTATCTTCACTCATTAAAGGTAAATGTAAAGTCTCAAGGGACAGGCAGTCATTGACGTACAGTTGTGAGATAGAGGGAGGGAGTTGTGGTAGAGACAGAAGCCTTTTGCATCCATTTAAGGTGAGACTGTGTAGGCTTGAAAGATGTTTGATGCTTAAAGGCAAGGTCTCTATATTACTCCCCGAGAGATCTAAATGGGTTAATGACGACAACAAGCTGATGTTGTCAGGCACTTCATATAATTCACTACAATTAGTCAGCCGTAGAAAACTCCAAGCACGCGTCTCATCAAATTTGGAACACAGATTTGATGCTAACTTATTACAATAATCAGCATCAAGGTATCGAAGGGTGCGCATGTCAACCAATTTGTGAAGACTTGTCACACCTTCGCATCTTCCTAGATTCAAAACAACAATTTTGCTGAGATGTCCGCTTGATGAGCACAACTCACCATTGATGGTTGCGTCACTAAGCACCAAGATAAACAAAAGTTTTTCTGAGGTCACCGAAAATTCACTTAGTCCTGAGCATCCTGTCAAGCTGAGTTCACTCAGTGATTTGAGATGGGTGTTGCTGACAAGGCTGGTAAGAGTTTTGCAATCTCTTAGCAATAAATTACAAAGGCTATGGAGAGATAAAATTGATGGATAAACATTTTGCAATTTTGTGCAACATGCCAGATTAACTTCTGCAAGATGTATGGCCTTGGAAAAATTTGGGAGCTCAATCAAGTCTTCTGATCCACAAAGATTGATTTTGCTTAAATTCACAAGATTCTGCGAAAAAAAAAAATCCATGGTAAGATTGGTGGCAAAAACGAAAATAATTACTCTATCTTATCCTTTTTTAATAGTTTTACTAAAAAAATTACTCATTAATGTCGAAAGGATTTACAACTTTTCCAAAATTACACTTAATCTTTATAAATATTGGGGTGATAGTGAAATACAAACGCATTTTCAGAATGGGTGCTGTCATTCTTTCATTGAATTTTTTAAGAGTTTTTAAACACCTATAGGTAAAAGCTTACAAATAATTAAGACTAAAGAAAAGGCACATAATAAAATTTTTCAACTCGTGCATTAATAATATTTTCAAAGAAAAATATAAAATTTACCTGCTCTCCATCCCAAAGTTTTGTCAATTTACTGTAAGGCAAGTTTATTTCAACAAGATTTTCACCCTTGAATGTTGTCGACAAGGTCTTTAAAGGGCATCCCACCCAATCCAATAGCATGAGGTTTTTTGAAAAAAACATTATGCCAAAAGCATTTAACTTGTTCCTAAGCTGAACATTTAAATTTCCATAAACCCTAAGAAACTTTAGATTGGGCATTGAACGAAATGCTCTAATAATCACGCCCGTCTCTTCAACTTCCGAAAGGTCCATAATCATGCCTTCAATACTTCCCTAACAAACAAAAAATAATAATATTAATAAAAAATCATATAAATCAACTAGGAATTTGAAATTCAACAATCATTTTAATAAATAAATGTATAAATTCCACACTTACCATATTTTTCTTCAATATTTCAGAACTTTTCTTGAAAATCCAAAATATGTTGCACCATGTAGAATATTTTAATGATTCTTCACGAACAATTTGTTTACCCATTTGTTTTATCAGACCGTGCATACATATTTTTCCTCTATCAATATCTAAAAGAGCTTTATCTTCAAGTCTCCTCAATCCAATCTCGGTTGAATAACCGCATGCATCTAACCATTTTTTTACATTCTCAACATCATAATAATAATTGAAAAAACATGCGATATGCAAGAAAATATTTTTCTCTTCCTCATCATCAAGTCCTTCGAAGCTCAATCTAAGGATATCATTGACTTTTGGGCAAGGTAATTTTTGAAGCTTTTCCAATTGGCTTTTCCACGCTTCTTGCTTTTTGCCGCATAAGAAGAGGCCTAAAACCTTTAGGGCCAATGGATTTCCACCTGCATATTCAGTCACTTGTTCTGCTAGCCCTCTCATCTTTGGATCACTGTAGCCTTTTTTGAAGGCATTCAAGGAGAAAAGTTGAAAAGCTTCATGAGGATCCAAACCATGAAGCACATATATGTCATCCACTTTCTTACGAAGCACTTGCTTATCTCTGGTTGTTATTAAGACTTTGCTACCTGATCCAAATTCAAATCTTCCAACTAAATTTTCTAATTGTTCAACATCATCAACATCATCAAGCACAATGAAAACCTTTTTCCGACGAAGCCTAGTCATGGTATGAGAATATATTGCTTTATCCCCTAATAAACTGCAAACAAGCTCCTTCCTTAAAGCATCTATTCCATCTTTCTTTGATTTTTCTCCCACTTTTTCCACAAAGACTGACCCTTCGTATTCAAAATGCCACTTCTTATACAATGCTTCTGCAAGAGTTGTTTTGCCCAAACCGCCCATCCCCCAAATGCAAATAATTCGGATATCCTTCGACCCCTTGTCCAACAATGATTCTACATCTTTCATTCTCTCTTCAATTCCAATCAAGTCTTCTCTATTATATTCACTTGGATACCGCTTGTGCAACCTTTCTTTAACGCTTTCCACTATTTCTTTAATTTTGTCTGCTTCGTTAACTCTGACACCATTGAAAAAGTAAAGATGCACCAAATTAAATATCACGTTATCTATTCAAAATTTTTAACTATTCCTAATGAAATGCAACTTAGAAGATTTGTCAATTTTGAAAATGTGTTGTTATTAATAGTTTTCTTGAGAAACATTACTCCTTCATTCTTTATTATAAGAAATAATTATGAAGTATGTCATGTTTTCATAAGAGGCATTTAGAAGTTGTCTCAAATTTGGTTGATTGATTTTTTATTTTATCCTATTTAATTACTCATTACTCATTTCATTATATTTAATTTCCACACATTCTATTTTATACTCCTAGTCCTATTATAAGGCACTTCCAATATGTTTTATACAAATCAAGAAAAATCTTAAATTGTATTAACTTTTTATTAAAATATAGCAACTTTTCAACTTTACCCCTATTTAATATATACACATTTCAAAACGAATATCTATCTACACTTCAACCGGAAAAAAAATCTATCTATACTATAATAAATAAAAAGCAATGTAGTCTATTCATCGTAAAAATTTAATGAAGTGACTTACAAATAGGACTAAAAAAACCTTCTCTTTCTGCCCTCCGCCCTATAAATAGGACTAGAGTAACACACATTATCTATCTTCTTTTTTGACCAAAAAAAGTTATATTTTTTGACCCATTTATTGCCCTCAAAGCAATTCGGGTAATTGGCTATTATAAAAGAAAAGGGAGAGAGTACTAAATAATTTAAACTGGATATATAAAATTTGAGCTTAATTTAATGGCCATGAATGGATCATAATGACTATATATAGTGAGACGGGGATTTAGAAGAAAAATATTGTGACAATAAAGTTGATAGGCCTGGTGGACTGGCTAAGCAAAGTGTGTATATATATGAGATCCTATAGTCTCATTATGATTATCAACTCCCATGGGATGCTCAAAGATTGATTTAATTTAGCCCCATGCATCATGGAAGAACATGGGAAGAGAACGATCATAAGCATGTAGTTACCTATTGGCGATGGGGAAACCAGATATACCAGCAGCTTCAGCGAGAGCCTTCCTCCACTGATGCAGTAGTCGCTTGGTGATGCCTTTGCCCTCAAGTTCTTCAAATGCTTTCTGATAACTCTCAGATTGCTTCCTCACATGTGAAGGATCTACTTTATAGAACACCGGCACAACAAGGTGACCTTGATTTTTGGAGCACTCTAATATTTTAGTAAGCTCCTTCAAGCACCATGTGGAAGATGCATAGTTTTCTGAGAAGATCACAAGGCACAGAGTTGAATCTTCAATGGCTTTCTCAAGAGATGGCCATACCTCATCTCCTTTCTCAATTCCGTCGTCGACGAATGTTTCTATTTTACTTCTGCGAAGAGCATCGCAAAGATGGCTAGTGAAACATCCGCGGGTGTCCTCACCTCTAAAACTTACAAAAATATCATGTGGCTTTGGATATTGAGAAGATGGAGCAGGGGAGGAAGATGAAGCCATATCAGATTGCTTTGCTTTGATATGCAAAAGAGAGTTGGGACTCGTCTCAATTCTGAACTGAGAGTAATTTTTGATATATAGGAAACACGCAGGGCGATGCATTCGAAAACCGACAAACAAAATGAATAATGAGTAATTACTGTATAAATTAATTTAAAGAAAGGCCGTCCTACCTAGTTGGAATTTTCTTGTGCTTTTAGTCCTTGGATAAGACAGCACCATATGAAAAGCATAGAACAGAGAGAATGGAAATTACCCAGTGACCTTCACCCAAAAGCTTAGGCAAATTTCCCAAGAGCAGCTGGTAAAAAGTAAAAAAAAAAAAAAAATTTCTTAATGGAATTCATTTTAATAAAGCACTATGATTATACCTTTGTAATTTTCGTGTCTACTCATTTTCTTCTGTGCTGGCATGCGTGTTCGCTTTCGAGAAATATAAAAGTGGCATGTGTGTTTGGATAAGATCAAAAGCATGATTTCAAAAATACTTTTATAGTAGACAAAATAAATATATAAAAAAATTTGTTTTGATTTACAGAAAAATATTTTTAAAAAATATTTATTGGGTTACCCACACACTCCAAAGATGGTGTGAGAAATAAACACGGAACAGAGTGCGTAATGGAAAATTGTGCAGATACAGCAAAAAATGCGGGCTGATCCGGATTGCGCGGGACGCTGAGAGCATGGAAACATAAATTATGGTTAAAAAATACTTATTAATTATTCTAAACCCCCCTTATATGTTTGCTTTTGTATTAGTAGTAGTATTTTTCACGAACACGTGGAACACGCTACAGCAGGATGTGCATTTGATATCTGAAAAAGCAACAGTAAGTTGATAAGGATGAATTTGATTGGTTCTATTTTTTCTGCTGTAAAATAAACAATAATATCACTCCCCCTCATTCAAAATATAAGTAGAGATTTGTTTTTATCGTAAATATTAGTATAAAATTTTTCCATAAAAAATAATTTTCAACACAAATGATTTAAAATAACAGTTTGAGAAAATTAATTGATTCACATTTTTATAAATAGTTACTTTAATTAACTTGTTTAATATATCTTAATTAATTATTTAACCATTATATAAATAAGAATAGAAACAGTGTTTTTTTCCTTTCCCACCCAAGCATCTTCGTGATCAGCGTGTGAGGAACAGAAACGGTATACATATGCATTATTATGGAGCAAATTATTGAATAATTTTTTGCGCTAAGGTGGTCGAAATGAGATTTAGTCTGACCACTTCTTAGATCCCCAAAAAAAAATATTATATTTTTATTGAACCACAGAATCCATTTGTCAAAATAGTGCGAAATATATCTAAAGTAACTATCAAAGTAAAAAGCTTTGTTTTAGGAAATTTACTACATTCAAGACGAAATATATTACACTTGAAGTAATTTTCACCATTTCACATTAGCAGTTTGTAACATTTTTTTTTTTACGGGTCAAAATTTAAATAATCATTTACTACGCTATAAGTGGTACTCCCTCCGTTCCTTATTATAAGAGACATTTGATGCTTATGGCATGTTCCTATATATAAGAGACACTTAAAAGTTGTCTCTACTTTTTTGTGTTGATTTCCTATTTTATCTATATTTATTGTCTCCAATTCACACTCTCTCTCCCTCTTACTTCTCTTTCTTTCAATAATTTAATTGTTCTCTCTCATGCTCTCTCTCCTTATTAATGAGGGCATTTTTGGAAAAAAGATTATATCTTTTACACATTTATTGTTCTTAACTAATTTTAACTGTTTTTTTGATCAACGTAATTCGGTTAGTCGTCTCTTATAATAAGGAACGGAGGGAGTACCAAGTTACCAACAACATAAGGTCGTCAATGCAACTTTCTGTTCATTTCATACTGAATGGAAAAGACAGCGCCAAATGAAAAACGGGGAGCAGAGAGAAAGAAAATTATTCAATCATTAATCAAATTTCCTAATTAGTTTTATCGTATTTTACGGAAAATTGCAAGCGGAGGACATGGGCGGCATCAGGAAAGAAGGCTACTTTTGACTTTCGTACTGAGATCGTCAATTTGCCTATGAAAATGGAACAAAATGATCAATAAATAGTCATAATTTTCAAAGAAAGGCGGTCCTACAGAGAGAAAGGAAACGCCGCTGGCTCTTTCTGCGAAATGTTGAAAGCCTAAGGGTGTGTTTGGGGAATAAATCACCCAAACACCCCCTCCAAAAACCAAAACCATGATTTTGGAAAAAACAAAATTTTTTTGCTTTTGGAGAAAAAAGAGAAAGTGTGAGGGCCTATATGATATGTATCTTGTTATTTTTTTTATAAACATATTTTTTTATAAATATATTTAATCTTATATTTTATAAATATATATACACATTAATTATTTATTAATTATATTATCTTATGTATTATTAATTATGTTGGTAAAAAACATATTATTAACAATTTTATTCCTTCAAATTAAAATATATCATAAAATATATTTTTTCTGTAATTATCATGTTAACTTATGTCTTTTTTTTAGTAATTTGTATATATAAAAAGTACTTCTGATAACAACTATCCAAATACTCTCACTTCTCAGAATCACTTTTTTACAAAATCTATTCTTCACAGAATCTATTTTCCCCAGAATCTATTCTCCAGAATCACTTTTCCAAACCACGGTTTGGTTTCATCCAAACACACCTTAATCAAATTTTCAAAGAGATAAAATAAGTTTGATCTTTTGGACTTATCATTTCCCTAACAACTATTCTATTATATCATTGTATACGGTGTTTACATAATTAATTCTGAATTCTGGAAATCACAACGTAACTTCCAGGAAGTTTCGTATGCGTAATCGGGAGCACTTCAGGCCTCTAACAACTAACAATATCTTACTTTTTTTTTTGACCAAAAGTTATGCTTGACAGCTTGAGCCCATCACAGCATCAGACATCTAACCTTTTTAATGTTTTAGTATGTGATTTTTTTCATAATAAATTTATTTTTTTAGGAACTGTCAGTTATAAAATTATCTCTATTCTAAATTTTATATATATTAAAATAAAAAAATTATTTACAATATAAAACAAATTAAATTGAATCTAGATATCCAAAATCGATCTAAATATTTCTTATTATGATGAGCGCTTAAACTCTTTAAAAGTTGAATACACAATCTTAAGAAAACTTAAAATTTAACGGAGTTTTGTTGTTATTAGGCTATAATGCACATTATCTGTTTGTGTGCACGAAGCACAAGTAAAACATTGTTGGCAAAAATAAAAAATAAAAATACAAGCGAAACATTAAGAGAGATCTTTGATGAAAAATAAAAAGAACAATATTTAAGAGGGATCAAGATATATCCCATTTTATCTTTTTATTCTTTTACCCCTAAACATACATACTAATTGAAATTTAACATTTGCACTATGGTCTTTTATATCTAATTTATACCTCTAGGTCATTTTCAACTTGCTTTTATTTTTGTAAAATGTGTGTATTTATATATTGTTGTTCATATTAATCTTTTTTCTAATATATATTAATTTCTTAACCTCAAAAAGTAGGGAAGAATGGTCATGAAGAGTGTCCCGACTCGTTTGAACCACAATATAAAATCAAATTAAAATAAACAAAATAAGTAACTTTATGAAGGAAAAATAAGTTTATATTTTCTTTTGTTTTCCACTAAACAAAAAATAAAAAGAAAAAAAATAATAGAGAAATACTTATTGAATTTTAAAAAGATAAATAGGTTATATCAACAACTTTTACAGTGGTTTTAACAACTTTTGTAATGATTTTGACAGGTTAAAATATGTTAAAATCACCTATTGTCATTTTAAAATTTAATAGGTATTTTTGGTCATTTTTTAAATAAAAATTTTTTAATTTATTTTTATAACATATCAAACACAATTACTTATTTTTAAAAAAATATTATTTATATTGTCATCCTTATAATTATTCATGTTGTCATTCTTACAGAACTTATTTTTAAAAATTAAACCAAATTGAAGGAAACATACATCAATTGTTCACATTATGCGAAGAATCGTCTCCAATAATTTTAATCTGACTATTACAGTAGTCATGGAATTTCAAGTCAATTAATTTAATAAAAACTAAAACAATAAAAAATATGTCATTTCTTTTTATTTGAATTTTCGCTTTATTTTATAAGTTTTTATTAACTAATCATCCTTTTTCAATTTTTTATTAACTAATCATCCTTAAAAGCAAAGCTAACTTTCATAGACTTACCCCGTTTCCTTGTGACTTCCGAAAAAGTTTTAATGCATAATTAGGAAATTACCTTGAGAGTTTCTCCCAAATTTCTTAAAAGCCTTCACCCCAAACTTAATTAATAAAAAAAATAGAAATGATGGCCAATTATATATACCTATTCTAATCTTCAAACTTGAAATTAGTCATAGTGAAGAATTTTCAAAGAAAATTATAGTTGATACAAAATGAAGGGTGACTTTAGTTTGCGCACACTGTAATATTCTCAACAAGATTTAAATAAATTGATAATTACTATTTTAGTTTATTTATATATACTTTTAATATGTTTGTCTGGAACTAATTAAATCAAACATTAAAACTCATTAGTTCTATTTAAAATTAAGTCAGTTGTCATCTTTGCCACCATCAAATTAAATGTGCATAATTTACAAATTAAATAACACATGCCAACATTAAACTAAGGATGAAAAGGAGAAATAAAAAAAATTAATACTTGGAGCTGTAAAAGAGTTAGGACTCTTTTTAATTCAGATCTAAGGATTATTTGCACGCAATGGGAAACAAACAGGGGCTATGCGGGATTATATTGTTGGAGAAGATAATTAAAATGGTCTTGGAGGGTGTTTGAAAAATCATTTAAAAAAAATCGAGATAAATTTTTTTATATATTTATTTTATATATTATAAAATTACTTTTAAAATTATGATCTGATTTCCATTTAAACACTTTTTCTGAGTTTATTAGGGCAGCCATTTGCAAAA